CCACTTTTGAGATATGGTGTCCGAAAAGTAGGTCAAAATAAAAAGTTCTCAAGATTCAACGTATGAGTTATGAATTAAGGGTAGAATTTTCCCAGAAATCCGAATCTGCAAACCAAATTTCGATCCGACTACCGGTTCGGAAGTTATGGCGTGTCCAAAAAGTAGGTCAAAATAAAAAAATTCCAAATTTAACGTATGAGTTATGAATTAGGGGTAGAATTTTGTCAGGAATCCAAATCTGCAAACCAAATTACGATCCGACTTCCGGTTCGAAAGTTATGGGGTTTTGAAAGCTCAAAAATCGCTAAATTTGGTGCCCCATGTTATGTCAATGAGAAAAAGGATTTTTTGAAGTGTAAAATACCAGATAAAGACTGAGTACAGCTTAATATTCTGAAAGCCTATAAAAGGAGGGGACCTCGAAGGTTATCTAGCTTTAAAATTTGGACGCAAAAATGCCTTGGTCAAAATCTAGGTCAAATTCATAGTTTTTCCTTATTTTTGCGATTCTGACATTACACTTTAAGGATTTGCTTCAAAATTTTGTATACAGGTAGCAAAGAGTGTGCTTATAGTGTTAGCCTTCTGCCGTCAAAAAGTTTTTTGACCCACTTTTGAGATATGGTGTCCGAAATGTAGGTCAAAATAAAAAAATTATCCAAATTTAACGTATGAGTTATGAATTAAGGGTAGAATTTTCTCAGGAATCAGAATCTTTAAACTAAATTTCGATCTAACTTCTGGTTAGATAGTTATAGCGGTTTGAAGTCTCGAAAAGTCGATATGATGATATCCCCATGTTAAGCTAATAGAGTCGAAGATAGCCTTCTTAAAAGTTGTCTAAATGTCTATATTCTAGCTGACTCAGCTTATTCTGAATGACTCAGCTCACAAGTTCTGGATGACTCAGCTTAAAAAAAATGTGAAATCTGGAGTCTTAAATTGAACTTGTTCAATTTACATGTCTAGTTATTCTTCTTCTTCTTCCTCCTTCCCAGATTTCTCACCAACTAGAAGAGCTTACTTTAAGCTGCTTACATGATTAACTAGGGAATGTATCTGGCTTTCTGGGAAATTAGGTCAAATTTTTATCTAGGTCAAAGGTCAAGAACTAGGTCAAATCCAGTACTTTGTCACTTTTTCCCATTATCTCGGTCGTCCTTCAATATTTTTGATCCTGGTGTTTTTCATTGTGTTCCTCATAAAAAAGTAGAAAACCTAGGGTCGATTTAGTTTTTTGGTATCTCAAACCGATTTCGAGATATCAGTGTCCGAAAACGAGGTCCAAAAAAAATTTCACCGAATCCAATGTCCAGGATATTAGTCTTATGGGAAATTTTCTCAGGATTCCGAATCTGAAAACCAAATTTCGATCTGACTTCCGGTTCAGAAGTTATGGCGTTTTGAAAATTCAAAAATCGCTAAATTTGGTGCCCCATGTTAATTCAATGGGAAAAAATATTTTTTTGAAGTGTAAAATACGAGATATAGACTAAGCACAGCTAAACATAATGGAAGCCCATAAAAGAAAGGGACCACAAGACCTTCTTTTCATAAAAATTTGGACACCAAAATGCCTAGGTCAAAATCTAGGTCAAATTCAAAGTTTTTCCTTATTTTTGCGATTCTGCCACTACAGATTAATTATATTCTTCGAAAATTTGTGTACATGTAGCCAAGAGTGTGCTAATAGTGTTAGCCTTTTGCCGTCAGGAAGTATTTTGACCCACTTTTGAGATATGGTGTCCGAAAAGTAGGTCAAACTAAAAAGTTCTCCAAATTTAACGTATGAGTTATGAATTAAGGGTAGAATTTTCTCAGGAATCCAAATCTGCAAACCAAATTTCAATCCGGCTCTTGGTTTGGAATTTTTGTCGTTTTGATAGCTCAAAAATCGCTAAATTTGGTGCCCCATGTTATGGCAATGGGAAAAAAGATTTTTTTGAAGTGTAAAATACAAGATATAGACTGAGTACAGCTTAATTTAATGAAAGCCTATTAAAGAAGGGGACCTCGAAGGCTACTTAGCTCCAAAATTTGGACACCAAAATGCCTAGGTCAAAATCTAGGTCAAATTTATAGTTTTCCCTTATTTTTGCGATTCTGACACTATATTTAAATGATTTGCTTTAAAATTTTGTATACAGGTAGCAAAGAGTATGCTATAGTGTTAGCGTTTTGCCGTCAGAAAGTATTTTGACCCACTTTTGAGATATGGTGTCCAAAAAGTAGGCCAAAGTAAAAAGTTTTCCAAAATTAACGTATGAGTTATGAATTAAGGGTAGAATTTTCTCAGAAATCTAGATCTGCAAACCAAATTTCGATCCGACTACTTGTTCTAAAGTTATGGCGTTTTGAGATCTCAAAAATCGCTAAATTTGGTGCCCCATGTTAAATCAATGGGACCGAATAATTTTTTGAAGTGTAAAAATACGAGATATAGAATGAGTACAGCTAAACATAATGAAAGCCCATAGAAGAAGGGGACCTCAAAAGCTACTTTCCTTCAAAGTTTGGACACCAAAATACCTAGTTTAAAAAATCTAGGTCAAATTCATAGTTTTTTCTTATTTTGCGATTCTGACACTACACTTCAATGATATTCTCCGAAATTTTGTATACTTGTAGCAAAAATTGCAATCCGACCCCAGGTTTAGATTCTACGCCATTTTGAAGTTTGAAATTCGCACTTGCCAGTATTCACGATGCAGATTGATCAAATATACTTTCAAAAATTCCTGCATACCCTACTTTACCTCTCTACCTACTCAGCTACTTATTTGACTACTTACTCAATTACTTAATTAGTTATTACTTACTTAGCAACTTACTCAGCTACTAACTCAGGTACTTACTCAGCTACTTACTCAGCTACCTACTCAGCTTTTTACTCAGTTACTTACTCAGCTACTTACTCAACTACTACTAAGGTACTTACTCAGCTAATTACTCAGTTACTTACTCAGCTCTTTACTGATCTATCTAGGTAAAATAAATCTGGAGTCTTAAATTGAACTTGTTCAATTTCACAAATCTAGTTATTATTTTTCTTTCTTTTTTCTTCCTCCTCACCAAATTTCTCGTCAACTATAACAGCTTACTTAATCCAACTTACATGGTTAACTAAAGACTGAAACCGGCTTTCTGGGAAATTAGGTCAAATTTTTTATCTAGGTCAAAGGTCAAGAACTAGGTCAAATCTTACATTTTCAACATTCTTCATCATATCTTCGTCAATATTCTTCGTAACTCCTTCATCTTTTTTTCATCGTGTAGCTTAGAAAAAGACGAATCAAAGATATGACATCAGAATTTTGATTACTCTTACCGATTTTGAGATATGGCGTCCGAAATGTAGGTCACGCCTAAACATGCACCAAATCGAATGTGTGAGCTATGAAAAAGATGTAGAATTTTCTCAGAAATCCAAATCTGCAAACCAAATTTGGATCGGACTTCAGGTTTGGAAGTTATGGCGTTTTGAAAGCTCAAAAATCGCTAAATTTGGTGCCTATGTTAAGTCAATGGGAAAAAAGACTTTTTCGAAGTGTAAAATACAGGATATTGACTGAGTACAGCTTAACATAATGAATGCTTATAAAAGAAGGGGACCTCAAAAGCTACATAGCTTCAAAATTTGGACACCAAAATGCCTAGGTCAAAATCAAGGTCAAATTCATAGTTTTTCCTTATTTTTACGATTCTGACACTACACTTTAATAATTTACTTCAAAATTTTGTATACAGGTAGCAAAGAGTGTGCTAATAGTGTTAGCCTTTTGCCGTCAGAAAGTATTTTGACCCACTTTTGAGATATGGTGTCCGAAAAGTAGGTCAAAATAAAAAGTTCTCCAGATTCAATGTATGAGTTATGAATTAAGGGTAGAATCTTCTAAGGAATCCGAATCTGCAAACCAAATTTCGATCCGACTTCCGGTTCGGAAGTTATGGCGTGTCCAAAAAGTAGGTCAAAATAAAAAAATCCAAATTTAACGTATGAGTTATGAATTAGGGGTAGAATTTTGTCAGGAATCCAAATCTGCAAACCAAATTTCGATCCGACTTCCGGTTCGAAAGTTATGGTGTTTTGAAAGCTCAAAAATCGCTAAATTTGGTGCCCCATGTTATGTCAATGACAAAAATGATTTTTTGAAGTGTAAAATACCAGATATAGACTGAGAACAGCTTAATATTTTGAAAGCCTATAAAAGGAGGGGACCTCGAAGGCTATCTAGCTTTAAAATTTGGACGCAAAAATGCCTTGGTCAAAATCTAGGTCAAATTCATAGTTTTTCCTTATTTTTGCGATTCTGACACTACACTTTAAGGATTTGCTTCAAAATTTTGTATACAGGTAGCAAAGAGTGTGCTTATAGTGTTAGCCTTCTGCCGTCAGAAAGTTTTTTGACCCACTTTTGAGATATGGTGTCCGAAATGTAGGTCAAAATAAAAAATTCTCCAAATTTAACGTATGAGTTATGAATTAAGGGTAGAATTTTCTCAGGAATCAGAATCTTTAAACCAAATTTCGATCTAACTTCTGGTTAGATAGTTATAGCGGTTTGAAGTCTCGAAAAGTCGATATGATGATATCCCCATGTTAAGCTAATAGTGTCGAAGATAGCCTTCTTAAAAGTTGTCTAAATGTCTATATTCTAGCTGACTCAGCTTATTTTGAATGACTCAGCTAACAAGTTCTGGATGACTCAGCTTAAAAAAAGTGCGAAATCTGGAGTCTTAAATTGAACTTGTTCAATTTACATGTCTAGTTATTTTCATAATTCAGCATAAAATTAAAAAATAAAAATCCCTATTTAATTTTTTCATAATTTCAAGAGATGATTTCTATATTTTCAAAATATAAGTGGTTGCAGCACCCACTTGCATCATACATGTATGTCTCTGCTTGCATTAAGGAACACTGCATGGGGGATTTTTTTAAATATAGCCAAATCATGGATTTTTCAACAATGTCTACAGAGACAATTAATCTCGCATACCTTGAAAGTTGAGTAATTAAGGCATCTTTCTTGCTCAGTTCTTCTTTGAACATTCTCATTTGATCCTGCATCTGAAATGGAAATTCATAATTAAGGAATTGTATGTGTTTAGGAGGTTTCAAGAAGGCGTCAAATGTCAACCATTATGGTGTTATTTGCTTCAGGGGGTGGGGGCTGGTTTGAAAATTCACGTGACAAAATTGTAGGGGTAGGGGAGTAAATAATTGTTACTTTGGGCAAGCGCTCAAGCCAGATTCATGATGCGCTTATTATGATTCACCAATTTTCGCAATGATGTCACTTATAAATGCAAATATAAATTGATGTTCCGTTGTATACCGCATGGCAAAGGGTTGCTAATTATCCATTTTTAACAGATTTCCAGATATTTGTATGCCTTTTATTTTGGGTGCTTACTAAAAGTACCAAAAGTGATTATATTGAAGATTCCAGCATTGAACCCTAACCGCAGTTTATTACAATAATTGATAAATTACAATAATTAGCTCACCTCAGAAAGTCTGCGACTTGATGATGGAGAGTCAGGTCTGTTTCCATTTCTATAAATAGTAGGGCTCTCTGCCCTGGCCCTGTGCAGTGCTGGGGCACTTCCAAATCTCACATGCCTGTCTCCATTGATCTCATTATCCAAAGCACTTCCCCTGCTTCGAATTGAAGGAAAACCACTGGTGTCCCCATCGGCAATTCGCCGAAAATACGACCCCGAGGACATCCTTTCTCCTTATTTCAACGAAAATGTATTCTTGAAGTTTAATCCTTTCGTGAATACGATGTTTTATCTCATAAAACTCGTGGAATTCGATAATATTCTACTTGTAAACAAAAAATTTCTCACCTGTCGTGATTAGCAACGTAAAAACACAAGTAAATAAGCCTCGTTTTGAGATCGGCGCACCTGCATTTTAGCCTCAAACCAAATCGTTTTAGTAGCGCCCTCTATCTTTTAGCAGACAGCTTTACAGACGATATTTTTCGAAGTTAGTTATATTTTCTTCATTTCTGACCAAAAACGTTGTATTTATCATACCATTGCATACTAAATTGATTGTTTGTATTCCACTTTTCATATTGTCTGTGATGTTTTGATATGACGATGGGAAATAACTGAATAAGTCAGATTTCAATTGAAAAGAAAGATGGATATCTTAAATCATTGTATTATCGCCCAGGTATCTAGGCTATCTATGCTACATTTGATGGCCCTGTCAGGCCATTTATTATACAGGATTTTTAATTATAGTCCGTTCAATCGCTTAGAATAATGTGGGTAAAGTTATTGCCTCACGCCCTCCCCCGTTTGCACCCAAATTATTTCTACCACCTCCCGTTTTCTTGACCTAATTTTTTTTATTTAAAACTCAATTAGGCTAACTGATTAAGTCACAGTTACTCATTCTTACCTTCTTCTAAGGCCACTGTATCGTGGCCTTCCAGTACAGATATATTCCTGCATGAACAACTGGTAATGTCGTAATCATAAAATTTGAAATCATATGTCCGCCATTTTTCCACATCACAATTTGAATTGCGAGTTTTGGTCTTATTACCTCACCAAAAATTCCAAAACACACACAAAGTGATCAGTGTATTAGTTCACATCTTCTGGATCGCTAACTTAGAATCTGCTTAGAATTTACAGCCAGTTACTAATGTCAGACGTAACGACATTTCGTCCAGTTTTCGAACATCGCCATTTTTCTTGGAGCCATTTTGTTTTAATTTTAGACGAAATCCTGATGAAATCATGTCATATCTCATCAAGGATTTGAGCTGGGTCCGGTTTGATTAATGATTTATTTGTCTGGTGATTTTTAAAATATTCAATAAATTTATGACACCCCGGCAGCTTTTTTCAAATAGAGTTCACAGTATTCCAGATGAATCCCCTCTAGCCAAGTATTGGCTAGAGACTCGAGTAAACTCATTCAATTTCTATTTCATTTTATACACAAAAATGTTTTTCTTCTAGAGGAAATCCGTGCAGAGTGTAGACCCACAATACACATAAGGAAAGCTCGTTTGGAACTATTATGTCTAGTTCAGGTAATCAAATTCTGAGAATTATTTAGCTAATATCAGGTACGTAATTCTGATCCTAAATTACCCCAAAAATTTATATTTGCTAATGATCTGTACCTTGCACCTTTGTTTATAAATATCAAAGCTTGATAAATAAATCAACTTTCATTTGAAAAATGGTGGGAAATTTGAAAAATAAAAAACTAACAACTTTTGTCAAATAATTTTTAAAAATTCAAACTTTGCATGGGGCCTTTAAGTATATGATCTTTGATTTGTCCACTTTTAGGTCAGCAATCCCTTGGACTTATCCCCAACAAAGCCAGGTATAAGAGATTGCAGGAATTACAGAACCATTTCTGTGTGAGTACTCACTCCCTTATAAAAGATCAATGGTATTTCATTTTTTTATCAAATTAACTTACAGGAGACCTAAAACAGCCCCCCCCCCCACTCGTGCACACTATTATAATGATAAATCACTACAATTTTAGTTGGTTCTGTTTTTGGATCACCCAATGCATTTTTAACCATCTTTGAATGGGATCAACGTTTAATGTTTATTTTATTCGTAATAAGGCAATGTTATTCTATTGAATAGGGACGATGGATGGTCCAAACATGCTGCACTCTCCAGTGCCTCTCTTTTACACAGTCTCCCTTCTTGTTGTTTATCCTTACAGTGTCTTTAACAAATAGCATCTGTAAGAAATGGCATGTGGTGACATTTTGCATGTTAATGCCTTGTTCCTCCCTTATAGTTGTCCCCATACAAGGTGTTGTGTATCCTTTGTTGTGTCTCCCTTGTTCCCTTATTGTGTCTCCCTTGTTGTAACACTGATTAATGAAGTTCTTGTATTACAGAAAGATGATGGAAGGATAGTCTGGGAGAAGATGGGAGCCAGAGATATTATCCTCTCTAGAGCAACCTTTGCCCTTTGTATAGTTGGGGTGACCTACTCTATGTATTCCATGTACAAAATGAGCAAAGGAAAGCAATAGACAATCCACAAGAAACAGACATTTGATGATAGGAAATGGAAAACAATGATACCCATTCATAAGAAACAGACATTTGGCAAAAATAGGCTAACCTTGATAAAATTGACATTCAACAAGAAATAGACATTTGATGATAGAAAATGGAAAACAATGATACCCATTCATAAGAAACAGACATTTGGCAAAAATAGGCTAACCTTGATAAAATTGACATTCAACAAGAAATAGACATTTGATGATAGGAAATGGAAAACAATGATACCCATTCATAAGAAACAGACATTTGACAAAAATAGGCTAACCTTGATATAAGAAATTGACATTCAACAAGAAATAGACATTTGGCAAAAAATTGATTTCCCCTGTGCAAGGAAGGCAAATTAGCCTATACAAAATATTTCAATATACTTTTATTCGACAAATACGCCCATGAAAAGAAATTTTACAGGAAAGAGTCTATAATATCTTTTAACTGATACGTGGGAATTTAATTGTTCCATTCAGGTGAATTACAAAATGCATGTTAGCCTATAGTAGTATATCCTGTATCATAGTTGAACTTTTTGGAGAAAATTACTGAGAGGAACATATTTTGAATTTATTTATTTTAATTGAATTTTTATGTACATATTTGGCTGTTATTTATTTATTAATAAAATATGAAGTGAAACTATGTATTTTCTTAATAATTCTTTGTAAAAAGAGCACGCATCAAGTGTTCAATTGGTTCCAAATGGGAGCCACATTAAGCATAGGCCTAAGTGTTTATAGTGCACTTTATCAAAAATCAACATGGAATTAACCTGAAAAAATGTCACCACCTACCATTTGTTACAAACACTGACCGCTTTACACCGAACACCAATTGCCTAACACTATCCACAAAAAAGTTGGAAACTATAACAGTATGTCACCACTTGTAGTTGTGACATAAAAAGGGACAAATAATGAATGCCCTCAGCTTGGCCCTTTAATGGCTTTATACAGTTATAATAGCCTAGATACAAGTAGAAATTATCTTGATTTACAACATTGAATATTCAAAATTCAATCAAAGTGATATCATATTTTAAATCTATGTGTAAAATCATCGTGAAATGTGGTTTATCAACTTTGAAAATTTAATTTTCTTTAAAAATGTGACTTCTAAGTTGGGGATATACCCCATACATGCCATAGACAGACAGACCACACGTTATGAAATCACAAAAAGTGAAATATCTTCTTTTTACACTCATACAGATAATATTTTGTTTTACTGGAAATACTTTCATTTGTATAACTATCAGATACATAAGGGTAATATGAAAATTGATACACTGGAACTGATGAATATTCAAGTTTTAATATCCTGTCATGTTATCTGACCCTAATTAGCCACCTAGTGGTGAAACTGGTAACTATACCTACTCACATCTAGGTTATTCAATGTACTGTACATACATGGATCCAACTGGCAAGTACTGTATAAACAGCTTTACTCATAAAAATCAACAACAAAAACAGTTTTAATATTATTAACAAAACAAATATATTTTTTGTATCATTAATTCATGTAATCATTCATTAAAAAATTGTAAGTTGTTTACTTTTAAGGTGTATTAAATATATAAGTGATACTAAATTGCACATTTCTATATATACACTATAAATATATGGAATATTTACAATTAAAATCATGTCATGTACACAGATTATATACAATTGAATGTCATGTAAAATTCCCAGCATCAATTCAGCATCCCATCCTGTCCTCCCTTTCAACAAGGAGTGTTGACAACCAAGATTCCTTCCTGATCTTAATTTGCCTGGAGCGGAACAATTCGGTTATACTATTACTAGAATGTTCATCTCCAGAACAAGTATTTAGTCGAGAGATGACAATTATGGTAATATTATTAGCAAATTGGTCCTTTACACGATGTCCCGTGTGAATCGTATGACCATAAGGTCATGAATCACATAAGACCAGAGAATTAGTAAGGAATACTGGGAGTCAATCCTCCTCGAGTCAGAAAAATGGAGTTGAGCTGTGGGAGTACCGTAATATGATCAGAGATTTAATGCAGGTTAGAAAAATCATGTCCTATCTGAACACTACATATTCTTTTGCTATTTGTTGTTTTTTGTGAAAAAATTACATTCATGAATCGACAACTAAAATTAAATTTATTTATGTATATAAAGTAAGTCAATTTGATGAAAATTCATATCAGTCAATTTCCAGGATCAATTCCCTATAATTAGAGTCAATTTCTTATGACTGATTTCCAATTATTGCCAAGATTTGCATTTCTGAAATTCAAAAATTGCCAGGAATATTGATAAAAAGTTTAAATTACATTTTTTCAATCAAAATAGCCTATATATCAATTCAGCTGCTATGGTCAATTTTCTCATAGGGTACAGGTAAGAAATATAGTACAAACCAAAATACATGTAATGCAGTCTGATTTTAAAAAAGTTGAAATTATAATTTTATATATATTAAAAATACATCAATAGCTGTTTACTGAATACATATCTAAATGCACATTCAGTTAGCACCATGGATAGCAATGTTTGATTTCAATATTGTTTAATTGAAAAAACACTAAAATTAAAAATAGAATATTTCTACGTTTGTGAAACTTTCACATATCTCATTTTTTCATTAACTAAGCTATATCTACAATACATGCTATAACTTAAAAGTAAATCACATGGCTCAACTTTTGAAACATAAGATCATTTAAGCAAACTACTTATTTTGTAGTACAGTAAAATCTTTATATCCAAACACCTCTCTAATCTGAACACTTCTCAAAATGAACACATTTATCTGTGTCCGGTTTTAAACTGTCATCGACTTCAGTGTTTGTGCCAATCCAAACTCTTTTAACCAGTCCCTGGTTTCTTTAACTTAAAAAATCAATACATAAATTATTTGTTCATTTTAAGTATTTTGAAATATTTTTGGAGAAATTAATTTTCCATTTTCAGGGATACTCCGTATTTGATCAATTTTCCAACATTTCACTTATATCATATAATGAATGGCAGTTTCAATGTCATATAGTGCCAAAAAGGACGATCCCTCCACATCGCGATAGCTGCGCCCCCTTTGTCTCGTAAACGGCAGTTAAGAGGGGCTCTGGCATACCAGAATGATCCCACCAACATATTTCATTTAACAGGCCAAACAAGAGTAGTCTTTTATCAGATATTAATGAAGTCATCATGTCTGGCACTTAGAACTGCACCTCCACAATGACACATTTGAGCATACTTAAAGTCCCAATTTTAAACACAACTTTCAAGTAAAGGCACAGTTTCCTTGAAATTTTGGAAATATTTCCTCTTAATTTTAACCACTATTTCTCGAGGATTGTGAGCACTATTTCCTCGATATCTCGGCCATTAAAATTGGCATTTTTACTCTTGACTCTCTTGATTCTCTTGGTATTTTTGAGGGACGTTGCCTCTTCTTTAGAGTACCATTTCTCCAGGTTTTAGGGAACTATTTTCTCACAATTCTAGTTCCCTTTTCCTTAACGCTAGGACACTATTTCCTCAGATTTTACGGAACTATTTCCATAGATTTTCTGCAGTATAACATCAAGATTTAGGGCACTGCCAGAAATGTAACAAACAGAATCTGTCATTGGAGGTGTCATCGTCCCCAGTACATGTGCACCTATATTGCCTATGCGTCTCATTATTTGTGCTCTCTAGCTGAGCTCTGAGGCCACCTATAGTTGAACATGTTGCACCAGTGGTCACCCAGCTCTGGAAATACATTGTAAAAATGAATATTATCAGTTTTGACCATTACGTTATTGGGGGAGTGAGACTGCCCATTAGACTATGTATAGTTGAACATGGACATGTAGCTCTACATAAGCAAATAGTTAAAATAGAGCTTTTGAATTTGTTATCACTTTTAATAAATTCTTAATTCTAAAAATCATGTACACAGATTGTCGCTTAAAAGCCCATCAGCAGATGAATTGGTGTAATTACTAATGCGGGCATTATGTTAAGATTTGGTGGAACTGGACACAAGAGGTCTACCGCTGAACATGACATACTCCTATAAATGATACGTCACAAAGCTTGTCTAGAAACATCTTGAAACATCTAGAACATGTAAAAAATCGTTCAATTCTCACGATTTTCCTACTTCATCTTTACTCACATTGAGTTCCTCTATGTTAACAGGTTGCCATGCCAACTGTGTCTGGTCTACTGTGACTGGAGAGCCATGTGTTAACTTCTTGTAGCGACACTGTGAAGGGGCAGGGCTTATCTACAAATAAATAGATAAATTAAATTCTAGAATGTAACGTAACGTAGCTTAGTGTTATCTTATGGATGAAATCATCTTAAGCGGACAAACTTTTGGATTGGGTAGTTGGATTGTTATCAGTATTCTGATTGATTATCAAAAAATGTAGATGAAACTCTCTTTAAAAACTCTCTTTAAAACTGAGGTTACAAGATAACCAAAGTGGGGAGATTGCTGATATTTCTGCAAAAAGCTCTCATTTTTATTTACTCTAGGTGTCTTATGACATTTACATTGACCCAGATTGATTAAAAAAGAGCATCATTCATGAACAGGGGCCTCTGGGTAGAAACCTCCTTCAATGTGTAACTTACGGGAGAAACTTGGGAGCCATTCCTGAGCTTATTAATCTCCTGAAGCAGACTCCTATTCAGAGCAGAAATACTGTCTTGGAGAGTCAATTTGGCTGCAGTCAGTTCTGCTATGGTAAACTCCATGGCTGCCAGACTTTCTTCAGTCTAGAATAAACAAAATAAACAATATTAAAAATAAAATCATAGAGTAAAATTTCTGTTTCGATACTGTAAAAGCCCAAATTTTCAAGGTGCCCTAATTTTCACTATTTTCGCTGAAGAGGCTAGACCTTGAAATTAAAGGCACTGTGAAAATTTGATTTAACATTGAATTGAATTAGATATATTTTCAGACAATGGAATTTAATGCCCATGAAATATTTCAGGTTGACAAAATAGTGACATTTTTCGACAGCGAAAATATGGGCTTTTTGAGTAATGGGAACGCCTTATTTAAGCAACCTCCCTGGTGTTTTAGTAACTATGACAACGAGTTAAATAAAATAAACATCTGCAAGAGGATAACTCCAAAGTGGAAACCTTTATGAGGTACCAAAGGTTATTTGATTAACATAGGTTTTAATGCAGGGGCGGATCTGGGAACCAACAAGGGGGGGGGCCCAAACTTCTGGTCTGAGAAAAAAACTTCTACGCCTGCGAGGAACAAAATTTTGAAATGTATGTGATATCATCAGGTTTTAGCCCACAAATATATATTGTGAGCCCCCTAGTCCATATTAATATTTTTTGTGTGTTTATTTTGAGCTGATCTCAACCATTGTTAGTTTAATATGACCAAAATAAGGTGACATGAATTACCTTTCTCTCACTGTCACTCTTAACATTTCATATTGCATGTTTAATGTTGACCCGAGTAATTTATTTGATTAGAAAAATCGACCAATATGAATAGCAATTTGAAGTTTTCCTGTTCATATTTTTCACTGCTCTTGCCTTATTTTTTGATTTTAACTCCAAATTTGAATGCATTTTCTTGATTTTCTTTCACTTCTTCACAATATGGAGTGCTAACTACATGCCTGTTTAATTTACAACTCATTTCATACATTTGCCCTAATTTCTCATGATCAAAATCTTGACAATCATTCATAATACTTTCTTTCTAAATTTTCAAAATACAAACTGCATTATCTTTACCCTGGATGAACAACATATATGGAGTGTCAAGTTTATAATGCTTTTTTATTTTCTTGGGGTCAAACATGGTCTAGGTAACCCAATGAAGGACTCTTGAGGTTACATAAATCTACAAATGAAGTGTTTGCATATACTCTATATGTTTAAGGTGAATTTTGTTTGAATATAGAAGTTCTACACCAGGGTGTTTAAAGGGATATTCCCATACACTTTTCTGACAGATTTTCACTGCTATTTATATATAAACTCAGTGGCATTAGAACAACTGTATGCTACATTGTATGTTGAAAATCTGGAAATTAAGAGTAATATAGGAGAGATCCTAAATCTAACAAAGTGGTATGATAATATTTTATATGACATGTTAAAGAAACAACAAAATGCTACATACACGTACTTTAATCTGAAGAAATAATTGTACAAAAACATTACTTTTTGATATTGTAAGTATGGTATGGTATGACATGCCACGGCATGGTATGGTATGGCATGGTATGGTATGGTATGGTACGGCATGGTATGGTATGGTAAGGTATGGTATGGTATGGCATGGCATGGCATGGCATGGCATGGTATGGTATGGCATGGCATGGTATGGTATGGCATGGTATGGTATGGTATGCTATGGTATGACATGGTATGGTATGGTATGGCATGGCATGGTATGGTATGGCATGGTATGGTATGGCATGGTATGGTATGGTATGCAATGGTATGACATGGTATGGTAAGTATGGTATTATATGGTATGGTATAGCAATTACCTGTTGTTTGTTTGCATCTATGGTGCTTGAGAGACCAACTAGGTTGTTATCTGTATTTGTGGAATGTGCTTGTAGTACCATGACCTACAAACAATAGAAAACACAATTTTACAGGGCTTATATCAGTCTGGATTAAGTGTAGAAATCACTCAAATCCTACAATGCTATAAAAACAGGTATTTAGACATAAGGCCTTTAGTTGTAAATGAGTGAAATACTCATTTTCAATTATAAATTAAGAAAAAATATTCTGGCAATACATATACAATTTTACAGCTGACAAAATTTCTCAAAAACATGAAGTTTTCTGTACCACTCTACATTTTGTTAACATTCATTTCTACCAGGAAAGCGAATTCCCTACAGCTATCAAACGTATGCATATATACTCACATCTGCAGTAATATTATTCACAGCTGCTTGGTTAATTGTCACATTTTCCTCCAGTTCGTTTATAGCAATTGTGTTTTGAGCAACCTTTGTTGAGAGAGTCACATTCTCATCACTGGACTGGAGGATGCCCTCCAAGCGCTTATACTGGAAATATAAAAGACACAAAGTGATAAATATCACACTTGAACAGCAAAATAGCTGCTTTGTAAATTCCCATTTGCACGTCAAAACCTCATCATATTCAAATTCAACAGATGAATGTTATTTTAATGACAAGGTTTTTAGGTGCTGCTTGTTTAGTCAAATCTTCCAATAGAACACTATTTAAAGTAGATTTTACTGTATTTCCGAAACTACATGTATAAGATACTGAAATGGAAAATTATGCATTTAATCAACCTATAATTCCAGAAATGAGTTTTCCAAAAGATCGCTGTCAATTTCAGCACGAGTGGTTTAAAAACACTGGTATGTCATATGACAACAGTTTATGATAGACATAATGTACATACCTTGGTTTCTAACTGATCATAGTTCTCTTCTAATTCTGTAGTTTTTATTGCATATAATTTTTCTAGTGATTCTATACGTTTCAAAGCTGCGGCAAGATTTTGCGTCATATTGTCAGATATAATGGCAGCAGGTGGAGCTGATATTGGAGCTGAAATTATTAAAAGGAAATTTGTAAATTCAAAATAAACAATAAACAATAGAAATAGATATAATCATTTAATAGGCAACAGAGACGAGAAGTTACAGGTGAGTCAAATTGTCTGAATTGACATCTTTTTGCTCATATCATTCCATGTGCCTATTTTTCAAAAAGTCCTAACATTTCTGATTTTATTACAGGGTAATCATTCGATTTTCACGGTTATCTGGGAAAATGGAAAAAGTAGACCTTTTTTAATTCTCCAATGATGGGATGCTCTTTGAAAGAATGCTTCAACTATTTCTTCAATCTTATTCTTCAATTTAAGAGATACCTCTTTAAATTTGAAAAATACACTCTTGAGTGAAGACAATGCAAAAAGTCTGCCTGATAGATAATTTTGTGGTACATAAAAATGAATAGCTTATTATCCCAGTTCTTGTTTATTTATGATAGTAATTATCTTAAAAATGACATCCTTGATGTTAGCTCCTGAAATTTTGTCTTGATAATTAATCACGACCTTCGGGTCATGAACAATTCTTATGGTTTGGCATTCTCTTTATCTCCAAAGACGCAAACACAGAAACTTAAGAAGACACATTCTGATCATGTTTTTACAAACATTTTCAATTTTGTTCTTTTTAAACAAGGCCAAAATGTGCCTCTTTAATAGTGTACTATAATACTCAAAGTTTAGATCATGAATTATTCTGAATAAAATTTTTTATATTCTACAACATTGCCAAAAGTTACATAATCACATTTTAAGCTCAGAAATCATGACCTGAATTTTTTTTCAAAATGTGGCCTACATTAACCTACCTGAGGGTGAAAGCACCCCGCTCAGGATCAACATCACCAGTATCAACACACCAACAGCCAACAACCCCACTAGTATCAACAGGGGGTACGGACACTTGCAACACAGGAAACCAGGTTCGGGCTTCTCCGTATCATCCTTGGTTACTATGGCAACAGTGCTAGCAGCTGACGTACTATTTCGCTGCTGTGAGATTTCATCTCCCGTTGAATCATAGAGAGGATTGGCACGTCTCCTAAGAAATATTTTGTATTAGATTAGAACCATATATATGCAAACACCTTGAAATGTGAACACTTTGTCAGTCATATTTTTACAACGTATTATTGGGCTTTTAATAAAAGCATCTGAAAACATAAACACAGAAGTGTTCCGAGGAATGTTCACTTAAGGAAAGTTTTATATTCACTTGATTTCTAAAACTTATATATTAAAATAGATTATCAAGTAAAATTTCTGGAAATTCTGAATATCTGATGTATTAATTTGCATGAATACAATTTTGATTGTCAAGTACAAGATGACAATTCTGAAAGCTTTGTATTTGAGACAAATTAAAACAGTATCGAAAAACTAGATTGGAAAAAAACTGTAAGTTCACATAAGTAATAAAAAGAATGTACTGTATGTATGCTGACAAGGACTAATTTGCAATACAAATTAGGTTAAGCATACTTACTTGGCATTGGCGTTACTTTGCACTGAAGATGCCATGGATCGAGTATCTGACATTGATGTCGTCAGCTCAAGGTCACTAGCCGCCATTGTCATCGATGGCATCTTGCTCAGCGGGGGAGGTGACGGGGCATCTGATTGCTCGGAATATAGCCTCATTCTGGAATTATCAACATTACTGTCTTTGACCTCGTCATATAAATCAAAAGCATCATTAGTCTCTCCTTTTAGCCGCTGCCGCTTAGCAACAACAGTTGCCGCCATTTTGAAACACCTTATAAGATACAAGAAGCAACTCCACTCCTTAATATTTCATCTCAAACAGTCAATCCTGATTTCATTCCTGCATCATTCTTTGAAAATCCATCCTACTTTACAACTGTATACATCATCCATAGGTGTCAACAAGTATCCATTTGAGAGCAACCTTCGATCAGGAGTATTATTCCAAATCCAAGCTCCTATTCAGGTATGTGAACACAATTCTGTTTTAACATTATAACATGTTCTTGACTAACACTTAGCATATCTTCTCCTTATGTTTGTGAGCTCAGATGTATTTTGGGCTCCAGATTCCAAACCCTTAATCTATATTTGACAAATCTATTCTGCTGTTTTTTATGTAACTCTAAGCCAAGTAGGGCACTAAGTAAAAACAATACTGTGGTCTTTTTTCTTTTTATGTTTCACTGACACTTAGAAGTTTGCATGTTTGTTTGTTTGTTTGTTTGTTTATTTGTTTGTCTGTTTGTTGATTTGTTTGTTGATAACTTAAATGCAATCAAAATTAAAAGTGCAAAAAATATATCCTGACTATCAGAACCATGTGTATAAATCCAGTTCTCTTCTCATCATAAATACACTTCCTTTAATTCACATCTCTCATTCTTGAGTGTTTGGTTGTTTGCTGACAATAATTAAACCTAAACTACAAAAATTAAGTTATAATATGGGATCAACATTCAACAACCTGTACTATCTCTTGGAGTACTGCATTAGATAAAGAAGAACTCAGATAAATCAGAATTGGACTATAATATAATCATATGCATTAGAAGTCAAGTTCTACTAGTCATAAATACACTTCCTTTATTTCCTTATATCTATTCTCCTATATCAATAAAGGTTCCACAGTTATCTCATAATCCAATAAGTTGTGTAAGTTTAAAATATCCAAATAAGGTATCATCCAATCAGATAATTCATAAGTGTGCATCACCGTACAAATATGCAACTCCTTCGGTAAAGCTGCAATCAAAATCGGAAACTTCTATTCCGTTTTAACTCAAGAGACGATAAATACTACAGTCGGATCGTAAAATCGTAAATTGCCATCATTGAAAACCACAGCACTTGTAAACTATCCATATTGTTTCTACCGAGCACACACTTATCCTTGAATGGCACTTGATTTTATCTTAAATTTGTAAAATAAAATAAAATAGATTAGCTGTCTAACTTTTAAGTTATTTCGCATTTATCATTATGTACATAAATTGAGAACTGAAGATGTGATGTAGGTATTTTCGTCTTGAAGGTTGCTAGCTTCAAACTAAAATAGCTCTATTAAGTCAGATGTGCGTTTTTAGACTATACTTCCACAATAACTTAAATTGCGTGAATTGACATTGAAATGGAGACAATGTAATTAGCATTTATTCAAAGTTCAAGATAAAACAATGAAACTTAACAGGCAACTGGAAGATGTTTCATTTAAGTTTCAGATTAACATTGACCTTTTCTGGCATTTTTGCTCTTAACTTTTTACAAGTGATGTTTTTTTAAGGTTTGGCCATTTAAACCTTATAGCTAAAGACAAACCTAGATCAGGAAAAAGAATTTAAAGTTTAGATCCAGAATGAAATTAGGGGTCAAAGATAAAAAAGTGAAATGAAATGAAAAAGTTGTAATAATTTAAAGGCTGATTTTTTTGTAAGAGTTTATTAAAAAACAATTTAGCATTCTAGTATCAGGCTACACAACATGCTGATTGCATTACAGTAAAGAATAAGTTTGATGGTAATTTACAAAGGAGGGTGACACTCCCATGATTCATTGCTAAAAAGATGTAAACAGTACCATCGTGTTTATAATTCCGATCTCTAACAATAACAATGGGCGATTTCCAAAATCTTATATTGCTCTAAAATTTTGACAAGAAAAATAATATTTCATCTTTATGAAAAATTAAATAAATTGTAGTTAAATGTTCTAAATATTTATTAAAGATTATCAAATTGAAGATTATAAAAGACTTGCACATCTGATTATACTTTATCAAATGAGTGTCAATATACAAGGTTAAATTGATATATACTTACTCAGGTGCACCAATTTATTTTAATACAGTAACACCAACAAATATGAACATATATTTTCTAAACAATAATCTGAACAAATCTCTAAACACCTTTCTATGCTTTGAGCAGGTCTTTATATCATAATATGAACACCCTTAATGTAAACACCTTTCTTAACTATATCTATATTTATATTTTACTTCGCAAGTTTGATCAAAGAATTTTTTACCATAAACATAGGTTTTGCTGTATCATCATTGAAAAAAATATATTTACCTTGAGACAGATGATAACAATAAAACGGCAATAAATATGACCCTGGACATTAACTTTTTATGTTATCATCTAAAGATAGATAATAAACAAATTGATAAACACAGAGCATGTTTTATAAAAGCATAAGTCTGAAATTACATCTTGGTAAAGGCAATAAACGAATTGACTATTGCAGGATCTACGATCTCGCGCACCCCACACTAGACCTCGTAAACATTTGATAAAGAGGGACTCTGATAAATCAGAATGGGAATCAATCAATTATTCTAAACAAGAGGTGTTTTTTTTAAACGACAGACAAAAAATCTCTTGTTTGTTAGTGCTCCTCAGCTGTATCAAGCTTTAAGGTTCTTTTTTACCCAATAAATTCCAAAGACTGTAATTTATGAAATTAAATTGTAAAAAATAATCACATACCTAAGATCTGGAGGTAGTTCCTCATAGAGAGGTCCCTTTACCATCATACTCTCTGGGTGTGGTTTTCCAGTAAGGTCACGGTCTTGTACGATATCATATTCAAATTTTCCACCCTCGGGAGTGTCTGGACTACTCGTGCTTGACTTTTTATATCGTTTCTGTATATTAGCATCAGAGTTTTTCAAATTCTTTTTCTGAAATCGACCAGAGCTTCGCAGATCTAGATCACTCGGTCTTTGTTTTGTCAGTGGTATTTCAGTATTGTTTATTCGGGGAGTTTGACCAGTGCTATGTCGCATTTGGACATTAACGTCACTCTGAGTGGCTCTATATGAGTCCTGTTCATCAATTGAATGTAATGGACCTTCGCTTACACTTCGTTGCAAGTTTTTAAAATTCTGGTTGCCATGGTGGAAATTTTGGTTGCCATGGACCCCATTAAAATGCTGATTCTGATCTCCTTGGTTTTGACTAGATTTTCCAAGAATAACTGGTTCGTAATAAAATCCACTATCTCTCATTGGAGATTCCTTTGTCCGGAGATGATTCATTTGAATATTATTTCCATTGTGAGCATGTTTTATCTGGTTGTCATGGATACTACTTGATGAGTTGCTAAGGTTACCACTGTCAGTTAAATGTTCGGTATTGTTGTTGCTATGGTGTTTGGTAAGCCCTGGCAACTGGTGTGTATTGTTGTCATATGCCTGAGGCTGCTGTAAAGAGGTAACCGAACTTGAGACAGAGTCACCTTTTTTAAGATTCCTATCGCGGACATATTTCCGTGGTTTTGGCTTGCAGAGTTGCGTCTGACTTGTTCTTAAGGACTCGCCGCTGGGTGTTTCCATTGTCATGCTGTCAACATCAGAGTAGCCTGGAAATGAAAATAAAAATTCTGTCAGAGGAAATACATCAGAAAAGATTGGACTGACTATTAACTGAGTTATCATAGATTTAAAAAATATATAAAATAGACACATTCCAAACCTTATATGGATGAATCATGTGTTCTAATATTCATACATTCATACAATAAATAAATAGTATATTATAAATCATTCTACTATTGTGGCTAACCAGGAAAATTAAAAATATGAACCACACAAATTTTTTTATTGTGTAGCTATGCCAGTTTAGGGATGGCCCATTAAACTTTGGAGGACCACATCCTAATCTTACAAAGAAAACATTTAAACCTGGATTATAAATATAAATAGAATAAAATAGATTTAGATTGGTTTGAAACATATCTTGGGCAAACAATTGAATTTTTATGAAAAGATTATTCTAAATTCTGATAAGTAAGATTGCCATATTTTTCCCCATCTGTACATTTTATGTTTGGTCCCTGACAGTTAATGATTCACAAACTTTTATATAAATCAAAAAGTTTATTGTTGTTTAGCTTTTGTTTACATCTTCCACTTTGAAGAATAAAAACACCTTAATGTCAGTGTTATCATTATTTATGTGATGACTAAGTTCAATGTAACCTGTAATGTACATATCTTACATATATACAAAAAGTTAAAAAATCAGTCAATCCTTTTCAAAGATGTGAGAATGTAAATGTAAAATATGTATTCTTTTTGGGGATGTTTTGATTTTTCAACATAAAATACAAAATTAGACTGAAAAGACATTGATGTATTTTTTCATATTTAATTATCTTATTTTATGTTCATATCAATTTTTGAGGCTGTATGAGCATAGCACTTTAGTTAATTTTAAAAAATACTCCATAGTATAATTAATGAACACTTATCTACAAGATATTTACCAAACACAGATTTACTCAAAAATAATATTACAACTTCAGTAACATTTAGAGACATCATAATATTAAAATAATTTTCAAGTGAGTAAAATGTTCATAAACGTGCCTTGAATGAAATATAATGCTAAGGTTTAACTTGATTGCAATCTATGCACTATACTTAATTATTTTGGCAACAAACTAGGCGTATGTATGAATCATGCACTAAAATAGTAAAAATCACAGTGCATCACACTGTCATAATATTCTTGAATTATTTTCTTTCATATAGTACAGTAAAACTAAACCTGTATAATGCCTGGGTCACATTTGCTCTGATCCATCGGCCAGCACCCGGCTGATTGAATTTTTTGTTCAATATTGTATACAATTTTGAACAAAATACTCAATTTGGCCAGGCGCCGTAGCGAGAATCGGAGTAAATGTGACCAGGGAATTAGAGAACACCTATCTCTAGCGAACACCTGTGTTAAGTGAACACCACTTCAAGATGTATTCTACATTGACTCCTGTGTAAAATCCCCTACTTGTAATGAACACCTACCTACAATAAACACTTTTTGTGGCTCCGTTAGTGTTCATCATATACAGGTTTTACTTGCATGCATAAGTTTGTAGCTTTATTCAGCTCCAGTAAAACCAGCAAAATGATTTTTCCAATGCATGGGTACCCTCCATTTTACCATGAGCTTTTTGCAAAAACATAACTTATGGGATTAGCTACACTTCAAGCGTCATGCCTAGATGACGGAGATTAAACTCCTAAAACTCAGTAGTTGTGCACTAGCACATTACTTACCTAATGGCTGCCTTATTGCATAGTTCAAATATCAATTCATTCTTACCTTATTTTTGTAAAAACAAAATTCAAGTCCTCAAAGAAATGGTGGCCTGCTTCTATGTATAACAAATCAGTATCTACATTTATCTACATTTAACATCAGAACTTACACAAACTAATACAACCAAGTCCTTGTACTTTCAAATAACAAGACATTCTTCATCTTCTATATCTTTTAAGTCCATGCTGTTAATTAATAGCAAACCACTGATAAGCCTGGCTAATCAATTAATTTTCAAGTATATGTACATTGTAATAGGTGTCTAATTTTTAAAACAATTAACTTTATGTAACAAATTGACTTTTTTTGTTAAAAAGAATTCTGAGCCTTTCCTTCTGCAAATTCCGCTTATCTTCTGATAAGTCAAGCAATTCAATATAATTTACAAAGTACAGGCACTTCATCTTTCAAAATATGTACAAGCATTCAAACTTTAACATACCTAAAGATTCTGATATTATATTGGCTACTTGCATAATGCCATTTTGTTAAGTTTTACACTACCCCTTCGCCAATACTGATAGATCATAAAATCTGAAATTTCCGTCAAAACCTGATTCATCTGAACATTCATAACCAAACAATAGGAAGATTCATTTCGCACCTTTTCTGCATGCGATGTCAAACTAATGCAAAATTAGCTAAAAACACTCAACTCCCAATTTGAAACCACTAAAATTGGCCTATCTATGAACTTTTTATACGAAATAAAAACTTACTGTTTTCTGCTAATCAAACTTACACATCCAATACAAAGCTAACAGTAAGTGAATCAGTATTATCCACAATGTAATAGAACAGAGATAAGCACAACAATCCTGATTACTAATGCCACTATAGCTAACTACTTGTAGAGATTACATCAAAGGAAGTGCTTGAGTGCCGCCTCTTGATAGTTTCAGGAACTGACTAAGCTACCCTAGCTGTAGCTTTGTGTTAGTTCTACTATGTGCTCCCTATCGGTTATCTCTAGCTTCTGAGTAGGGATGGTTTCTTGATGCGAGACTACGCAACAAGCTATCTTCACAATAGTCTGCTATCAAGTTCCAGTATCCTCCATTTCTCTAAATCTAAATACAAGACTTCACAGGTATAAACTCTAAAAACATTATATAGTCCATTTGTCATTTTCTGAACGTATGAATATTTAAAAGTATGATGTTTTTCAGTGTAAATACTATCATTAGGGATTATTGGAGTGATTTAGCTGGGTTGCCAAAAAAATAACTTTGGGGAAAAATTTTGTATCTATTACCATGGTAACATACCAGGTATATGGTGGTATCCCAACGCTAAGTCAATAGTAATAAGTAATAGCAATAAGCGATTGCACCCCTCCCTAATCAGCCTATATAATTTTTTCCCCAAACAAACTTTTTGTCCAACCCAGTTAAATCACTTCAGAAAACCCTTATTATCATAAATCAACCATAAAACATCGTACTTTTAACAATTTCTAGGTTCACTATTGGATGTATAGGGGTGACAAATGGACTAATATGTCCTGCATGTAAAAACTTACTTATGCCTTGGTCACATTTGCCCCGATTTTCACTACCGTGCCGGCTGATTGAGTATTTTGTTCAAAATTGAATACAATATTCAGTGGCGGATCCAGGAACCAACAAGGGGGGTCCAAATTTGAGGTCCGAGAAAAACCATCTGTGCTTGCGCGGAAAAAAATTTTGGGCCCCTAAAACTGAAAAGTGGGCCCAAATTTTGAAAATTTGAGGCCCATTTTCTTCAAAATTTGGCCTCAAATTAAAAAATAAGGCCTTGGAAGGCCCAATAATGACCAAAAGGCCCACTTTTTGGGGCCTTGAGGCCTTTTTTGGCCTAACATTTTTTTGGGCCAAACTTTTTTTTTTCTGGGCCAACCTTAGGGGGGGGCCCCCCCCCGGATCCGCCATAGATATTGAACAAAACACTCAATCGGCCGGCCGATGGATCGGAGCATATGTGACCCAGGCATTACCCTGCATGTAAACCAGAAAAGAATTTGTCTTTTGTCAAGGTTGTAACTGAGCTGCTTATAAATAAGCTCACATTAATTGAACACTTTTCTAAGTTTACATGCCACACTGAATATGTCATACCATTTTTTAGCAAAAAGGGTGCAACCTTCTTTTAAATCAAAATGCAAACTGCACTGCTAATTTATCTTGCATAAGGACCACATAACATGTATAAGTATGTCCTGCTGCACCAATCCTCCGTTCCCCTCCATCTAATCTGCTTGAACTGATTAACTCTCTTAGTGCCGGTGCGACTTTTTGTTCGTTTGACGTCTCAGTGCCGGTGCGACTTTTAGGTCGTTTTTGAAGGAAAATTGTGTAAAACTCAAATATGTTCGTATTTCATCATCATCATCATCATCATCATCGGTTTTAGGAGTATAAGGCTGGGTGCCTGTGTGTTCCTCCCTTCCAAATATAAATCAATTAATCTTGATACTTTGGTATTTTATTTCCCAAAGTTAACTGTGAGTTATATGACAAAACTAAACTGGTATTTGACAAAAATCTAGTGAGTGCACTGATCATCCTACTGAGGTCACTACTTCTTCTTCATCATCTCTGGATGGTAGTGGGCATCAACCTTTGCCTTGAATTCATCTAGTGTCTGGGCGAAGACAGCTATTTCTGGGAGGTTGTTCCAGTCATTTATTACACGCTGGCTAAAGAATCCTTGTCTTAAGGCAGTACTTTCCAATTCAGAAGTGATTGAAAACACAATAAAACTATCTGATTACATACTTCAGTACTATACCTTATGTAAATGCCTCATATTGAGCCAATGGAATAGTGATAAGAGGAGAAATTAGAGTGAAACTCGACATATTCCTCCACGTCTTGGAAATATTTTCAATATGGCGCCATTGGGGAAATCCCTGGGGAAATCCATTTGACATGTCATTTTGAAACGTATGATAATTGATTAATAATTGATAAAAACTTCAATAATGCTTGCAAACAAAAAATTTAACGATAATTTATAATCTTATTTGAAGTATTACTCAATTCTAAATGCATATTATTACAAAATGATATATATAAAGAAGTGTAACTAAAATATATATATCTTGAGAATGATCGGTTCATAGATTTAACCTACTTTTCAAATGAAGATCATCCCCGATCTTCATGTATGTTTAGCAGATTTTATGACTTATGAATGCATTCTGTATGCTATCAATAATACAAAGTAATCTGATTTGGAGCTATATTCATCAAGTACCTCGCGTGTGTCATTGCT